GGGGGATTTTAAAAAATTGTGCAGCGCCTTCCTAGACGTACACAAGGTACAGGTGTGAGTGTGGTGTAAAGATAATGGTGTCTGTCACTGTATCTGTTTTTCTCTCTCTCCTCCCCCCCCCTCTCTCTCTCTGTCTGTATCTCTGTCTCTCTTTGCCTCTGTCTCTCTCTGTCTCTGTCTCTCTATCTGTCTCTCTCTCCATCCCTCTCTCTCTCTCTTTATCTATCTACCAACTTAATCATCTATTACCCCTGCCTCTCTTTCTCTCTCTCTCTCTCTCTCTCTCTCTCTCTCTCTCTCTCTCTCTCTCTCTTTATCTGTCTACCAACATAATCATCTATTACCCCCTCTCTCTATCCAGGAGACGAGCGAGTGGAAGTCTCAGTACGACCAACTGCCCGACCAGGGAGCCAAAAACAAGACTCTCTCTCTCTCTCTGCTCTCTCTCTCTCCCACTCACACACCTTCTCTCTCTCTCTATCCAGGAGACGAGCGAGTGGAAGTCCCAGTACGAACAACTCCCCGACCAGGGAGCCAAAACCAAGACTCTCTCGGACATCATGTTCGCCGTCCGGTCGCGCATGCGCGAGAACGAGGCCACCCTGAGGTTCGGCGAGACGCCACGCCCCTCTGACCACGAGTTTGGGCAGATGTTGGTGGCGAAACACACTCCCAGGTGGAGGGCTAATGGCGGGAACAGGGGACAGGCCAGTCCCAGGAAACCCAAGGTGAGAGAGGGAGAGAGGGGGAGAGAGAGAGAGGAGAGAGGGGAGAGAGAGAGAGAGGGAGGGGAGAGAGGAGAAAGAGAGAGAGAGAGAGAGAGAAGAGAAGGATAGAGATAGATAGAGAGAGAAAGAGGGAGAGAGACGGATAGAGAGAGAAAAAGGTGAGAGGGAGAGAGAGAGAGAGAGAGAGAGAGAGAGAGAGAGAGAGAGAGAGACTGAGAGAGAGACATATATATAGAGAGAGAGAAAAAGAGGGAGAGACAGATAGAGAGAGAGAAAGAGACAGACAGAGAGAAAGAGAGAGAGAGAGAGAACATGTGACTGAGTGTGGGAGAGGGACGGAAGTGGGAGAATCTCAACAATCTCAGTTACATAAAACTGACCACCTCTCATAATAATAATAATAATAGATACAATCTGTACAGCGCAAATCCCCGCTCAACAGCAAGCTCTATGTGCTTCACAATCTATACTATTACCCCAGCAGACCTGAGAGCATTCTGAAACAGCCTCATCTTCCTGGGAAGCATACAGTGCAAGCAGCCATTTATAGGCGCTAAAACACTAACATACTGACAAGATCTTTCGCTGTCTATGGCCGGGTACCCATTCCCACCTGGGTGAAGTGAGAAAAATTCGTGTAAAGTGTCTTTCCCAAGGACACAACGTCGGGCCCGCGGCTCGAACCCCCAACCGAACCCGCAACCTCACGATGACGAGTCCGGTAGCCTAACCACTAGACCACTGACGCCACTCACGGAAGATGAATGTCTCCGTTAAGTCCGGACTGTCAATAACTCCGTTATTCCAAGTCTGTGACAACCTTAGTCATATCAGGACTGTCAATAATCACTGTAATGCTACGCTAAGTCTGCGTCTATCTTAGTTATGTCAGGATTGGGAATAACTCCGTTACGCGGGGTTTGCAAATAACTCCGTTATGTGAGGACTGAGACTATCTCGGTTATGTCAAATCTGTAACTCTCCGAGTTATATCAGGACTGTTAATAACTCTGTCAAGCCAGCACTATGATTATCTTCGTTATGCCAGGACTGTGATTATCTTAGTTATGTCAGGACTGTTAATAACTCCATTATGCCGGGACTGTGATTAGCCCAGTCAACCTTTAACAAAGAACAGTTAGTGCCAGACGGGCGTCCAGAAATGAGGACAGTTAGACAATAGGACACACCGGCGTGTACATAATTAAAGGGGTTCTTTTTTGGCAGAGAGAAGAGAAGAAAAGGCTGAGGCAGGCTGTGTGCAGAAATCCGAGCAGGTCTTAAGCTCTTAGTGGACTTAATGTCTTATTTTGGGAGGCCAGCTGACGAACGCACG